CATCTTCTGTTGGGTCTTTGGTTTAAAGCCTTTAAAGTAGAGTCATCTTAGAATTTTATCTCTTTAATTTATCTTACCAATCTTTTAATTTCCTTTTAAAAACACCTCTTATAAGGTTGCTTTCCAAAGTCTGAAGTTTTCTTCCTTCGAAAGATTGCATCATTTTTTTTAATTTTCCATAAGTAACTAATCTTATCATTGGATTTTAATGCTCCATAAGATTTAATGTATCTAAATTATTATCATCTGAATCAGATGATTCAGAGCTTGTCTCAAGTAAATTTTATCTTTAAAATCGTAATAGCATCCTATGCTGCTAATTTAAAAGTGATTAAGAAAGTAGCTTAAATTTCCTTAAGGTTTTAACAAGTTAAATAACATCTAACTCCATCTCCAACTTTTCTTTTCCTTTTTAATAAAAAAAATGCTTCTTGTACTCTTATTAATGTCTTAATTGTGTAAGATTTTTGAGAAACAAAAAGTTCATAAAATATTCCATTATATCCTTGAAATCGTAATTAAATCTCAGCCTATTTATAAAAGAATGTAAGAGATTGTTGACATCTGCTTATCCAATTATATTTCTGCCCTTAATAAACTTACTGACTACTGCCTCTCTGATTTTCATTGAAAGTGATCTGTAGATTGTAGATTTTATTTCCTCCTTATCTTTTTAGAAATATTCTGATTATTTTAATTGAATTGGTTAATCTTATTTTCTTTATCTAGGTGCTATCATTGCTTCATTATCATCTTATTTGTCAGTATTAAATGTTAATTCCTCTGCATTGCTTGGAATTTTATTTGAATTCGATCTAGGATTTCACTTTAATGTTTGTTTAAATTAAGATTTTCTGTTTTCTATATTTTTTACATTAATTTCCTCCTGAGTTAAATCATATTTTTCCTAAGATTTTTTATTTTTTGACTCTTTTTTGTCTATTTTAGAATCTTCATCATCTCTTATTGATTTTGTTCTAATTTAATATATTTTATGCATAATGTCGCTGAAAAACATACGTCTAATTATCTACCCAACGATAATTAGGCCAACTGAAAGCAGTGATCTATACAGTCCGCCCATATCTCCCAAATATTCTAATAAGGAGTATATTTTTCTGCTGTATAAGTCATATTTCATATCAAATCTTATATATACAACAGCAATATAACCCTCTGAATCAGAATAGCCATCATCATAAGTTCTCTCATTTGAGATTTAATGAAATTTGTATGATTCAATTTATCCAAATTAAACATAACTATCCTAAGTCTCGGCTTCTTGTAATTAAATATAAAAGTTTAATTTCTTAATCTTCTCTGCTTCCAACTCAAATAAAAATGAATCATCAATATATTTCTTGATAAAACTATCCTTATCATAGTCCATGAAGTCAAAATAAGTATTAATGTATGCAAAATTGAAAGTCTCTTTCTCAAAATACTCATCAATTTTCTATTTGTCTCTGCAAATAACAGTAGATTCTGTTGAATTTCGACATTTCCATAATTTAATTTCTACAAATTCAAAATTTTATTAGTAGAAATACCCTTGAAGTTGATAGTCATCGTCGATAGCACACAGGTAGTTAGATATGCCTTTCAACATCACCTCTTTTTAATCAGTGAAATTGAAATGTTTATCATGACATTTATCTAATCTTAGATTCCTTTCAATCTTAGTCATTACTTTCTTGCCATTTATATCGAATTAATCTGTCTCATAGTGACCTATCTATTTAACTGTGAAATGCCCAATCGATGGATCAAGCTCAGAACTCACTCCAAAAGCAAAGTCAAAGCCAAGTTCTTAAGGCTTATATATCTAGCCATCATTCATTGTTCTAATAAGAGAAATCTTTGATATATTTGCATCTAATTTCATATACAAATATGATCCCTTGAAGAGTCCAAAACCCATTAGCATCATCAATAGAATCATAGAAACAAACGCTCCAATTGTTGTCTTAAATGATTCTTACCCGTGAAAAGTTAGCTGAACTCTTTATCCAAACTAATCAAGCACCTTAAATCTATCAGAAAATAATTGCCATTTGGTTTTCTAAGGGATTATATTTACTTATCTCTAAAATGTAATGAAGGCATTATTAATATACTTTAGTTGTTTTAGACGTATTCATATATTATTATAAACTTTTATCACTGTTCGATTAAGAAAAAACTATAGTAATAAAGCTAAATAATTTTCATCGTTTTATTTTCCCTCCCAATAAAATTGAAATAAGTATTGATGGGGTTTTGGGGTTTTGGGG